AAACAGCATGTGTGTTACTGTTACATGAGAAACTATCTGTTCTGTACGCCTTCACCTGAAGTACAATAAAATATTTAAAAAAAAAAAAAAAAGATAATGACTTACAAAAATATTACCAACCCTCTGGAAATATCAGCAGTGATTCCACTACCCAACTGATTCTCCTGATCCCGTCAAACACTATTTTGTATAAGCAGTGATTTAAGTGGCTTGCACTTTAAAGTTTACAATGATATTTTACACATTATTTCATTCTGACTTAGCATTACTGAGCAAGAAAAATAGATTTTACTCTCTGAGTTTACAGACGAAGATAGTGTGGCTCAGAGCATTAAGTGACCTGGCAAGGACATAGAAGTTCAGAGCTATGTTCTAGATGACCGAGTCACTCCTGCCACATGGAAAGAAGGCACAGAACCAGTAAGTGGCAGAGCTAGGACTGGGACAAGGTCTTTTAACCAAGTCCACTGCTATGGCAATCAACACCTCATTTCCGATACAGTGTCACCTCAACCATTTTGACCTAAACACAGTAGACCCCAGAACTGTTGGACACAGACTTGTCTGTTAACAGAAAATATAGCCATTTAGGGACAGACCTGGGCCACAGCTTGCAAGGGGGTGATCAAGCTGCTGTGTTTAATCTGAATGTCGGGAAGGTCTCCTTGGCGGTAACTTCTGTATAGAATGATCTGGGAGTCCTGCTTCATTTTTAACTCACTTTTGATCTCCTGTAATAATAAACATAAAAAAAGAAAATTAGAACTTTTATTTCAGAAAATCAATACTGCATGAGATACAAAACTGTCAGTAACCATCTCTTAACATAAAGGATTATCAGAAAAAAGAAATTACAGCTCTCTTTTTTGGCCAAGCAATGATCATCGTATTGGAAATGGCTCAGTTGCTATGTACAGTTAGTGGGAGAAGATAAATTCAAGATAAAAATTACTATGGTACATGAACAGTGAAAACATTATTTAAATGCTTATTTCAAAGTAATCTGAAGTCATAAAATGGGCGAATTTGATTTAGATCTTTTCATAAACACCAGCCAACGGGCTGTGGCCCCAGTGAGCTCTGCCCCATCTCCTCTGCCCCCGCGGGCTAGGATGTCTCCTTCAGATTTCTACCATCAGTCAGTGCCCATGTCAAAAGCCATCTCTTCCCACAAGCTTTCTGTCCTGCCTCTTTCAGCATAGATCTTCCCCAGTCGTGCTCCTCGCTGGCTTATTTCCGACCCCACACATGCTATGGTCTGAAACGCAGGGTCTTGTCTGCCACTACCTCTACACCACTAGCACCTGGAACAGTGCCTGGCACAGAGCACAATGCTCCCGAAGTATTTATTTGTTCAACGGGCCACAAGTGACTGTGACGAGAGGCCACGCGTACATGCTGGGGACCCTACTGGGGGCCCTCCCCACTCAGTAGCCCCTTCTCAGCTTGGGGGCTTCAATGCTACACGTCCTGCTTTGTGTTGTGCGAAACACAGCCCTGCAATCTCTATCTGGCAGTCCTGCCTAAAAAACCCATTGCCATTGAGTCAATTATGACTCATACAACCCTACAGGACAGAGTAGAAGAGCCCCACAGGATTTCCAAGGCTGTAAGCTTTACAGAAACAGATTGCTACATCCTTCTCCCGTAAAGCAGCTGGTGGGTTTGAACTGTCGACCTTTCAGTTAGCAGCTGAGTGTTTAACCACTGCACCACTAGGGTTCCTTCTTCTGCGGACTGGACGTGGCTATTCCCTTCAGTTTAATAAGGAACTCAGCATGACTTCTCAGCTGGCAGGCAGAGCACTGCCAGGGTGTCGCAGTGTAAGATGGCAGATGGGGCCCTCTAGTACCCTCCAACTTTGCGCCCTCATCTTCAAAACGAGTTGTGTTATAAAGACAAGAGTAAGATGAAAAGTTCATTCTTTTCCCAAAGAAAATACAGTGAGTCACTCAACCACTTCATACTTAGATTTGAAAGTTAATTAAATGGCTAAAGATTTAAACTGAATTAGAACAAGGCCAGTACTTTTCCACAATCCATCCTACCTTTTTTGCGAATTATGTAATAAGTACTGATTTAAGCAAAATCAAAGCCAGAGCTAGACAAGTTCTTTTTACTTCATGTTCTGAAAAATGTTTCATTTTTTCATGAAACAGGGCCTCCACTCCTTCCCCACCCAGGTGCCTCCAGAACAGTTGGCTGTAATAGGGCCTCACACTTGACCACAGCAGTGGCCCATGACCCAGGGAGGGTCAATCAGTCCCCTACAAGGCTCTGGTCAGAGACACAGAGTGGGGTCAATATCTCCAAGCAGCTGAAGTTGTAAGATGTAAACTTCTGGAACTATGAGTGGCCTCTTCTCCGGCATTGAGAGAGCCAGTCTGCACAGAGAAGAATGGGACTGAGCTGCAGGGAGAGGCAGGGCTAACAGGCAGAGAAGAGGATTCGGGCTGCATGCCCGCAGACACAGTTGGAGAATCACCAGGCCTACTCAGAGATGTCAGAGGAGACTGTGGTTTGTAACCAGCCTCACTTCACGCAGTGCTGCTCTGTGACTGCAGTGTGTGTATCTACACGACCCAGCACCTGAAAGGATGTTCAACTTCCCAAACAGCATGTGTCCAGTGATTTGAAAAAGACATTTCCAACCAATCACATGCCTGAAAAAGATACACACCTTCTCTCGTTTCTGTTCAACAATACCTTTTCTGGCATAAATCAACTTGAGCTTTTCTTGGTCCTTTAAAAATCGTCTACGTAATCTTAATATTTCTGCCCGATCATTTGTGCCTAAAGAAGATAAAGCAGGACCAGTTAGAGATGGGCAGTTCAACAATGCAGTCAACCTCGCCTCCTATTCAGAACCCCTGACAATGAAAGGGAGGTTGCTTGCTGTCTTAGTTAGCTAGTGCCGCTGTAATACAAATACCACAGGTGGGTGGCTTAAAAGAACATAAATCTATTTTCTCACGGTTTAGGAGGCCAGAAGTCTAAATTCAGGGTGTGGCTCCAGGAGGAGGTTCTTTATCTCTCTGGGGCAATCCTTGGAGATTCATCTGTCTCTGTCATTATCAGGTCTATTCTAACCTTCTTATAACTCAGAAGAGATTAGGTTTAGGATCCACCCTACACTGGTATGACTTCAACCAAACTGATACCTTTCATTAGATTACATTATGGAAGGTAATCTGTGCTACCCAAAGCCAACGGATGTAATTATACGATTGAATCATAATAGCATATGGCTGGGATTTCAATACATATTTTGGAGGAACACAATTCAATCCAAAACATTTGCTTATATTCTGGCCCAGGGAATGTACTTCTGCCAAGATGATTTGCCAGGCCACAACCTTGCAAAGGGATTGGACAGTTTACTATGCAAATAAGGTACATAAGACCCTTACAGGGATTGGACAGTTTACTATGCAAAAAAGGTGTGTAAAACTCTTGCAGGGATTGGTCAATTGCTATACAAATTAAATAACTGTGGTCTACCAAGGGGACTGGTAAGTTTTGCCATCCTGCTAGGCTTATAAGGGCTAATCCCAGAGGTTAGGGGGTAAAATCACTACCATCAAAAAGAGTCTGAGCAGAACACATCCTCTGGACCCAGAGTCTCTGCACCGAGAACCTCCTAGACCCGAGAGAGAGCTGTAACATTTGAGAAGGCAAGAGATGGCGCGAGACAGGTGCAGCAGCACAAGCAGTGGGAACCAGGTGACCGGCGCAAGACAGCTGCAGTGGGCTTCCTCGCCCATGGAGTGAGGCAGTGGCAGTGGGCTTGCAGATGCAGAGAGCGAGAAAAAGCCATGCATCTTCGGACAGGAGGCTTGCTAGTGAAGTAGGGTGGGTGCCTCTGGACATTTTTTGGTGGAGCTAAAGAGCTGTGACACTTGCCAGAGGAGGGCAGAGGCCTAGAGCAAGGCCCAGGGATGAGCACAGCCGAGAAAGAAGGACTGCCTGCGGGCACTGCTGAGAGAGAAGCTGAGCACTGTCTTGGTTGGAAGCTGTCCTGATTGACCAACTGTATCCTCTCTCCTGAGTTGCAGCCTGTTCTTCCCTAATAAACCATATAATCATGAGTATGGTCTGTGAGTTCTGTGTGGCCATTACAGCGAATTATCGAATGCAACAGAGAGGTAGAGAGTGCCGTGGGAGGATGGCTGGTGTCAGAATTGGTAAAAAAGTTGGAATGGAGGCATGTCTGACAGTCACCTCAGAGAAATCAGCTTTGGGCTGATGGTAATTCTCATTCTCCCTCCTTAGGAATTTGGATGAGGTCTGACACACTAGATTATAACATGTGAAGATCATCTATACACAAAAGAATGCCAAGGACTGCCAACAGACACCAGAAAACAGAAGGGGGCTCACAGAAGGAACTGATTCGGCCAAGATCCTGATTTGGACTTTCGGCCGCCAGACTGTGAGAAAATAAACTTGTTCTTTAAAGCCACCTACTTGCAGTATTTGTGTGACAGCAGCACAAGGAAACTCAATTACCATTTTCTTGCTTTACCTCTCTCCCCATGTTCTGTACCCTCTAAATGAATGGACTGAGTCTAACTTATTCAAAAGTTTTTCCAGAACACCTAAAACTATGCTTTCAACATGGTAAGCACCCAGGCAACATTTACTGAATCCAATTTTAATGGACTTAATCACAGGTTACATAAAAATGTGGATATAGTCAGAAAATAGAGTAAGAAGACAGTCTGCACTAATTTATAGGGTAGGTTATTGTAAATACTTTTCAGAAACCTTGCTTTACCTTTAACACTGTTATCCACCTCATCCCCTGGAAGGCCTAGCCTCTTTCTCCCAAAATTAGGTCCCACTGACTTCGAGGATGCTCTTGGTGGTTTTTCCCTCCTCTTGTGGACAAACAGTAAGGAGGAAGACAGGGAATCAGATGACGATGAGACCATGTAATCTGCCAACGGGTCAATGCTGGTTCCAGTTAGCCAATTAAATGAGCTTCTTCCATCTGCAAATGTGTATGTCAGAATGTATTAGAATATGTCTCACAACCACACAATTCCTCACGTCCACACACCTAGAAGCAATAGGGCAGGGCAGCTGGCACACAGTGAGGGAGCAAATCCCTGCTCAGGCAGCCAAACTGCCGAGAATAAGAATCCTCACCTCTCAGCTCCCAGGTGTCCACCTGCAGCACAGACTGAGGTAACAGAGGTGCAGGGTGGGGGCTGTAAGATGGGAGGCAGGTTGGTGTCTGTATAAATAAGAAGCCAGCTGTAGACTCCTTCGCAAGGGTTCCGGGGTCACTGATGCTTTCTATCTATTACAGAGTATTATTCTCCCTTTTGGTACTAAACTCCCAGGATTTCTAATATCAGTGTCATTATTTAAATTAGTCCTACTTTTAGAATCCACAGAACTGGAAAAAAGTGTATCAAGGAAAAACTTTCAAGTGCTTATAGAAAATGATTAAGCAATTTTGCTATACAACTTATACCATGATGGTCAAAGAAAACAGTTAAACCATATAAGAACTGTGTGTAATGAACTGTAAGCACAGTCAATAAATTTGGTTTAGCTGTATTTTGCTTTTTAAAAAATAATTTATTTTTGCTGTTGTTGTTGAAAATATACAAAGCGGTACACCAATTCAACAATTTCTACATGTACAATTTAGTGACACTGATTACATTCTTCAAGTTGTGTAATCATTCTCACCCTCCTTTTCTGAATTGTACCTCCCCTATTAACACAGACTCACTGTCTCCTCAGATTCCTATCTAATCTTTCGAGTTGTTGTTGTCAGTTTGATCCCATACAGATAGTTCTTTAAAAGAAAAGAATGCTCAAGGCAGATATTCTTTACTAATTAAGTTAAATTATTATTTGGTTTAAAGAGGACTTCAGGGGATATTTTTGGTTTGAGATTTAAAGATTATCTCAGGGAAATAGTTTCAGGGGTTCATCCAGCCTCAGTGGCTCCAAAAAGTCTGGATCCCATGAGAATTTGAAATTCTCTTCCGGATTTTCCATCTTTTGATCAGGATTCTCCTATAGAATCTTTGATCAAAACCATCAGTAATGGTAGCCAGGAACCATCCAGTTCTGATCTCATGGCAAAGGAGGTAGTTGGTCATGGAGGCAATCAGCCACACATTCCATATCCTCCTCCTATTCCCAACTCTCCTTCTTCCTCTTTTGCTCCAGGCAAATAAAGACCATTTTTTGTACCTTGGATGGCCACCTGCAAACTTTTAAGACCCCAGGAACTATGCAGTGAACTAGGAAGTAGAACAGAGGCACTAAACACAGTATTAGGCCAATTAACTGGGATGTCCCATGAAACCATGACCCTAAACGTTCAAACCAATAAACCAAATTGCATAAGGTTTTTGGTTGTACAAGATGTTTCAAATTGGATGCACCCAACAGATTTTTCTAGACAATAAAACAAAACATATATGTACAGAAACGTCCATTGCCTCTTTTAACTGACATATCTTTCTTATGGTTCTCAACGCTTTTTGCCATTAATACTTTTCTTCTTTTACAAAATGTTCATGTTCTTGCAAGCAGAGACTGCCTCCACAAGTCAGAGTACCTTGTAATTATTTATTTCATTTTCTTGACCATCAGGTGTACAGGTGGATAGTTACCTGTGTTTTGGGTAGGTGTGAAGTCCCAGTGTTGCTGGGTACTCCTTACTTGCCCAGCCATGAGCCCTTGAACTGTCAGGGAGTCGTCTTGGGTTTGGGTCTGGAGAGCAATTTGGGAGGCCTGAGTCTCAATAAACATTGGTGTGAGAACAGTACTTCGGAGACGCCAGTCAGAAGCAATAGTGTATTCCTGCATGTAGGAAAGTTTTCAATGAACTAATGCTCCTCTTTTCAGCAACACTGAAATATTTTCATTTAAAATCCAATAGTACTATCAGCAAATATGTACCATAATTTATATTTCTCTGTGGAAAGCAGCTAAAGGAAAAACTTATCGTATATAAAACTTTCATTTAAATAACTATCTACCAACTAGAAAAACTAACTACAATTGAGGGGAAAAACCCAACTATATATTTTTCTACTCCTTAACAATCTCCATTCAAGGGCTTTATGTGACATTCAGAAACAAATGCAACAAGTTAAATGACTCAAATATTTCCTCCATATTCACCATGTGTCAGGCACTAGGACAGGCACCAAGAATACAAGTGTGGACAAAACAGTTAGCGTCTACCTCAGCGGAGCTGGTGGGGCCAGGCAGCACAAGGCGTGCTGTTAATATGTAGATCCTGAAAATGTGTTACAGCTGCCACAGGGAGGGGCAAACCAGGCATGTCCACCAGTGGGTGGGAGAAGCATGTGGGGATGCAGCAAGCTTGAGAAGGCAAACCTTACCTGAGGTTGCCTGGGTGAGCAGAGTGTGCTTCGTGGACAGCATGGGTACAGGGGGTGAGCACATGCAAATGTTCCAAAAGGAACTGCAGAGCACTCCAAAAGCAGTAAGAAAGTTGGTTTAAACACTACTGAAAAATGTTTAGTAACTAACCAATGGGGAATGCTTATAATATTCATTACTATTGTGACAGAGACAAGACCTCACCTGAAATGTGCATTCTGACAGAGGATGCTCAAACACAGGGTTTGGATAATCTGGGCTCAGGCTGGTCATTTCAAGCAGAAAATCTGTTGCTAAACTTAAAAACTGCATTTCTATTTTAGGAGAATATAACGAATTTAATGCCAACAATCGGTCCAAAATATGTGACGGTAATCTAGTTTCATGACTCCAGAAATTTCGAATAATTAATCTGTAAAGCAGAAAGGAAAACAGCATATGCTTAGATATCAGCAAATGAGAAAAAAAGCACTACACATGGTGGCATGTGAGAAAGGCAGTTTTCCATCTAGATAAGGCGTAAGATAGAGGGAAGCCAGATTCAAAATTGCATTAAGGGCGTAACTTGAATTATGCAAAATAACATGCATTGAAAGAAGACAATATTATAAAAATTTAGCATATTTAAGAAGAGAGGAAATGTGTGATTTTATTCTCAACCATATTACCTGAGAAGTTTTCAATGATGAGTATATCATATCGACTGTTTATTTTAAACTCAGAAAACACTTTAAGAAATTACATCCAAAAAAAAAGAAATGACATCATTATCATTACCTTGTTAAAACAATTCACACCAAAAATTACTGCCATAAAATACTCAAAACTTAAATTAGTTAAAAACTAGATTAGGTTTTATAATTTAAAAATGCTAATCAAATCCAAATATTATTATTTGAAAAAGCTAAATAAATTGAAAATTGGAGCAGAATGGAAAAACTAAATGATATTCAGAATTGCAAAAAAATTATGCTTCTTCTTACATAATCGGCACTTGACAAGACACCCATATAACTGATTTAGGGTAGGCGTGTCAGAATATAGCAACCATCGTTCACACTGCCACATGAAATCAACATCATGGTCTCCTCCTGTTTCTAAGGATTCTAACATTTCACTTAATTTTAATACATAGAATGTGAGTTAAATGGAGAAACATACTAATCGTCATTACAGATTTTCCTTTTGTTTTAAAACATTTTGACTGACTGCTCTAGCAGAGAACATTTTACTCGCCCCACTTTTTCAAGAGTTATAGTAACTTGTCAGGATTTTTAAGTCTTCTCTTAATAACGTGATTTAAAAATACAGGGACTAGCGCAGACATGGCTGTGGCAGCATGCCTATCCTTCTTCCCATTCTTACCTATTCTGTAATATTCTTCGGATTCCGGCAGACATTCTAGCTCTGGCAGCATGCTTGCTTGTCTGCTTCCCACTTTTGTCCTTTCGAATATATGCCAAATAAAACTTTCTTTTTACTTTACTAAACTTTGGATGTTTTTCCCCTACAACAGTTAATGGCGCTGTGAGCAGGATCTGAAGCTACGAATCCAGTCAACTTCGAAGAGTCCTGAACTGCGGAGCAGAAGCCAGCAAAGAAAGGTCCTATCTTCTGGACCCACGTGTTTCCACTCCATGTCCCTTAGACATTGACGGGGTGAGTGCTCTCAGAAAAGGAACCTTTGCTTATTTTTTGTTGTTCTCTTTCTCATGTTTTCTTAAGTTTTGTTTGGCATATTTGTTTGTAAAACCGGTTAATTGATTAAGCAGAATCTTTCTTAGATTTTTTCTTGATCATTTGGTTAAGAGAGACATTTAGTAACTCTTTAAGTGAACTGCAGTTTAGGCCTGGGTTTGGGCGTTTGAAGAGGTAATTCTATTTTCAAAGAGCTGTGAGTCACTATAAGCTGCAAAATTCGGGCCTTTTTGTGGCTCAGAGAAAACCTGGAAAATAGTGCTCTGTTTTGCTGAATTTGCAGGGAGAGGTGGCAGCTCTTGCCTGTTTTGCCAAATTCTCAGGCTGAGGTGGCAGCTCCTGACCTGTGTTTTGATATTTAAGGGAGAAGTGGTAGTTCTGTACCTGTTTTTTCCACTGAACTGAGTCGATCTTACCAAAAATTGCTGTATACACTTTTAGAAACTAGGATCCCCATATCCTTGTTTTGTGTGGTATTATCTGGTGAGTTTATGTGGTCTTTCTGTTTCCTTTTGTTCTAAGAGCTTGCTTCTGGTCTAGAGCATTGTGTCTAAGTTTGTCTTAGATTGGTGGCTATGGCTAAGAATTGCTGTTTTTTGTAAGGCTAGTCATACAACCTCAGTTCCTTCTTCATCCAGAAAAAACAGCGTCTTGTGTCTGTCTTGTGATTTAGATTTTTAATAGTTACTTGGAGAAACTTTGATATAAATTGGTCTATTTGAAAAGTACACTAAGATCTTTACGTTTTATACCATGTCAATCTTAAAAGTGAAACCTTTTTAAGTAACTTAAGCTAGATATTATATGAAATGTGTTTTATTTAAGGAAAAAGGACAGTTTTGTTTTAAAGTAAAAGCAGCAGTTCCAGAACAGTAAAAAAGAAAAAAATTAGCTATCTTTTATCTTTCAAAATACCTCCATCAATTTAAACATATGTAAATGTCTTCCATGAGTCAAGAGAGTGAGGGCGGGGCACGATCAGGCCTCCCCACCTCCTAGTCTCCAAGGTCCTGTAGCTCCAGGGATGCTTTTGAAAGACCCCTTTCCAGCTAGGTGGAGACTCTTTTAAGACAAAAGATAAGAAAAATTGCTGCTTTGCTATAGTTATCAGAAATTGAGTAGATCCTAATCATAAAACTGTAAACAAGTTCTTTGTATTATAGGGGAACTTTAAGAAGTTAAAAAAAAATAGAAATCACAATGAGACACACCTGAAGTGGCCTGGAAAAATGTTTCCGGCAGTAGCAAACACTTAAGGTTACATCCATATCAATGAATCAGTCAAGTGAGCAGAGACTTTTGTGATTTCCAAAGCCAGTTGATAAAATCTTTAAGGGCTAAAATTAGATTGGGAAAAATATGAGAAATAGTAAAAGCTGAATGAACTCTTAGAATGTTTAAATACTTTTTTTTCAACAACAGTTCTGTTTTGTGGTATACAGGCTTAAAGTAATTCCAAAGGTATTTTAGGTAGCTTATTGATGTTATTAATAGATATTTGTCATAATTTAAGTCCATATACTTTGCCTTTTTATGCCAAAAGAGGATATATAGATATAAATATTTAAGTCTGCGAATAAGTGTTCATTTTTAACATTTAAAGGGATACACTGTAAGAGATATACAACAAAGGCAACCTTTAAGAGGTTTATTGAAAAAGAAATTTATTTGATATGGTCAAGTTTCATCTGTCTGACTGAAGTTTAATGGTTTAATTTATGAGATTTTTAGGAGTTTTAATGTTAAGTAACATATAAAACAAAGAATTGGGTTTCTCGCAGTTAAAATAACAAAGTTTTCTTTAATTTCTGAGTTAAAGGGTTAATTTATTCTTTGTGTAATCTGCCTGGAAGACAAAGGTTTAGCCTCTCATTAGAATTAAGATTCCAGAGTCTGAATACCACGACTCATGGCTTTTAGAAAAGAAAGCTAAGGGTTCTACTTTAAGATCTTTGGTTATTTAACTTAAGCATTGTTTCACAGTGACCTATATTATTATCTCTTTATTGCTAACTTGGTCACAACTGTATCTTTTTAAATCTAGCATTATCAAAGCCAATGGTTTGACTGGGCAATTCACGTCATTTTCCCATGAAGTTTTTTTTATTACTATTCACTTATTTAGAGATTTGATAATCTTGGTATATTCTTAGTATATCCTGACTATATGGTATATTGTCTCAAAATTATTATGTATTATATCTGAAGCTCTTTGAATATGGTTAATGGCTATATTTAGAAATATTTTTATCTAACTTTTTTTTTAACTGATTTTATTTTGCCTTTATGTTGGGCTTGAAATTAATTTCTATCAGGTCTTTCACTATTAAGAATGTTAAATAATCATGGCCATATTAAGTTTTATCATCTGCAGATAAGCTTTTACTTCGCTGACTTGCTGAAAAAGTTTGACCAAAATATAGCAACAAAAAGATGGACTATTGGACTTGCTAAAAAGACTGTGATTAGACTGAATAAAATTTCCAGAGCCCCTAGCCAGAAGCTGACGAGTTTGCAGACTGGGGCTGATCCAGAATCACACAGAAGAGAAATTAACTACTTAAAACTAAATAAACTAAAGGAAACTATGGTTTTTTTAATATTGCTGATATTTTAAGGTCCTAATTTCTGGATATAAGAAATCATTCTCCTTTCTCCTAAATTATCTAACTAATGGGTTTAGATATGGTAACTCTTGAATTAGAAGTTCCTGTTGGTAAACTTAGCCAAGTTGTAGATATCATAACCAGAGAACTATCTGAAATTTGAGCTATGATTTTACAAAATAGTACAGCATTAGATTTCCTGTTAATCTCTTAAGAAACAGTTTGTGCCTCAATAGATAGTTGCTGTATTTATATTAATACTCAATCTGAGGTTTTGCAGAATGTAGCTGCTG